ACCCACACCCACACCCTGTCAACTTTCTTGATATTCTCATTGGAAACAACAGTAGCATCTTATCAACATCAGTTTATCACAAAGAAGCGACAGAGCCCTATGTTGTGCCTTTCAAATCCGATCATACTCGCCATACATTCAGGAACATCGTTCAAGAACTCTGGGTCGAACTGTCCTCTATTCATCGACATTGAAAGCGTTCGACACTGAGCGTCGTAACATTAAACTCATGTTACTTTACAACGGGTATATCGTTTATTCTAATGTGCTTCTGTCTTTACTGGCATCGTTGCTTAGTTATCTGTCGATTTTTATCGATGCCCAATTCAATCAATTCTGTTCAAAATAGAACGTGTCGATGTCGGATCTCTTGCCACTGATTGAAGACGAGAATGATTTCTTTCGGATGAAAGTTTAATTACCGGTCATTCCGACTCATCAGTAATCACAAATAAGCAAAAGTGCGGCTTTAGTCGCTGCCGACCATGACAAGGGAAATACCACTGTCAACTTTCAACAAAACAAATCAACTACGATCAAAGAAAAAACATAGATTGATCGTCTCATCCAACATTCTACACATGAGAAACGCCTCGCTTCTTACAAACAAGACATTGATCAGATATGGAAAACAACATTCATCAATACACCGGCGATGGATATCAAAGTGATAGTAGGGCACCGCAACGGTCGAACTCTCAAGTGCAAACTTGTACGCAAGCATCATTACTTGGGCAGAAAGAGGAAAAAAGTAATTCTTGAATACATTGTCTCTAAAGATTAAATATTCTTATTATTATTGAATTTATTACAACCAAACCTAAATCAACTATATCCTGCTTCATAGTACTTATTCACTGCATCAATTGATTATCTTCTGGACGTATCTCAATACATGATCGGTTGCTATTTGTTTTTGACTATATCATATGAACATTATATTTCTCCGTATTGCATATAAAAGTCCTGCAGTGGTTTGTCTTTACTATTCCTTCTGTTATGAAAAGTAGCCCACTTTCAATTTACATTCTAGATAGTATCACTCAAATGATCACTAGTCATTGATGGACACTGAAAGCGTAACACAATTGTTAGATACTGTCAATGAATAGGATTACAATTCGAGCGATTCTCATTTCTGAAAACTTGACTATTATAAGGATAAGTATAGTTTCATATCAACCAGTGTCACATATGAAACACTATATCCACTTTCATTAGCAAACAAAGCGAAAGAGACAAAGTGATCTGAACGAAAGTTGACAACCTACAGTGGAGATAGTTAGTGTTACTTTAATTACGCTATGAGTGACTTGAAATAAATATTTCTAACTTTATTGTGAAGTTGTGAGCAATTTATTTGAATTTAAAAATAAAGAAGTAAGTTGCATGAAGAAAGAAAGTCAATAAATGATGCTTTCATTAAAAAAAGCATTTCAATTGTTCTTTAAAAACTCGGCCGTGGATTTTCTTTTGCACGTTGTATTATTTTCGCTACAGAACATGATAGTTTATCCGCAGACAACTTTGGTGTAGACACAAAGTCTTTTATCCCACGAGATGATAAATTACATCCATTGTTACTTGGTTTAGCAAATTTCCAAAACGAATTCAGATATACTACATCGTTTACGAAAGTACTGGAATATTGCTCGATAATGAAATATAAATAATTTTGAGCTTGTCCAAGCATGTCAATACTAAACGTCACTGCCCTATTGGTAGCAGAATTTGTCACAGTTTGAGTCCAATTAGTGCCTCTTAACTGAAATCGGATCCGCAGTTCATCCCCAGGATTTACAGTCATGATTTGACCGCCCTTACAACCAGTATAGCCTGGGAACTTGCCATAGGTGTTGACATATTGTGCAGAACTCCACCAAGTAGAATATGCTGCAGGTTGAGTACCTGGAGCACATGAAGTACCCCAGGTTAATACAGGTTGTAATACTCCATTATTGATTGGATCAAAATTAGCTCCATTAGGTTGTAAACCGGGCCATAAAAATAATGTACCTTGATGAGCTTGTTTAGGAGGAACAATCATGGCAGTTTCCATATAAACAATTTGATTTGTATTTTCCACAGAAAAACTAACTATACCATAACCGCTGACAGTGCCAGTAGGAGCTTGGGTTAGACCAGCAGTACATGATGGATCATTAGTTGCACGTAAATTAATCTTATGTATTCGTCGAGCGAACGTAACGGATACACAAAATACAAATATTAGAATAATATTAATGACTGTTCTCATCATATAAATAATAATCCGTCAAAGAAACTAAAATCAAGAGAGAAGTAAAAAACATAAAAGATTGAGACCCAAATATCTTCTTTTCTATAATAACAAGTAACGCAATGCAAATGTCGCTAACCCTCTACTAAAAGGAACTATGCCATCATGCATACCCTGAATGAATAAAGAGCTGTAGGTCAGAGATCTCAGGCTCACCGAATTTCTCCGCCTCGTCACGAAGCGAGACGAGGCAGGATTTTCTGCACCGCGACAAGTGCGAGTTGATTTCAAGACTCGCTGAGTCAACTCGGCTACTTAAAATGTAATTGTTAGTGATTAAATAGTAAATCATTAATGTTATCTCCCGATTTTATTGTTCAGTTCCGAAAGAATTTCTATTGGTGATGAAGTTAAACTAATTACAACAATAAATGAATATTTACGTAAACATAGTTATCTATTTGGTCTGTCGAATAATTTGATTTAGGTCCCAAACAGACTGACTCAATTCAAAGTGAATTAAGAAACATGCTTGGTGTTACCATGTAACGACGTCAATAACATTGGTTAATTGACTTTAAATTAATTCAGTCTGTTTGGAGCCTTACACAATTACCATTATGAATTTAACTAATGTGACCTTTGTTATATTAGCTAGTAGAAATTTTACGATAAAAGTTTTAATCTAGATACGTATTATTGCTCGGTAAACTATTGTTCTTCTTCTGATCATATTATCGATATAAGAGAAGAAACTTATTCAGATTCTAGCAATCCTGATCATACATTATCAGATATTTCTCGAATGTCCTGTAGAAGGATTTATAATTGATTCACGCGTAAAGATGGAAATCTAACAATAGTCGAAAATAGGAAGAAACATACGACAAGTTGCTAGTCTCGGTTTGGTTTTCCAGCTATTACTGACAATTAAAGTGTTGTGGTGATAAAATTAAACAACCTTGTCTCATGTAAACATCGCTATGTAACATATTCTTACAATAATAATAGCATCTCGCAAATGAACAAGTACATTTGTGGATGTTCACCAATAAGATCTTCAAAACATTGATACAACATCCTCATCACCTTTAAAACAAAAAATGCTTTCTTTCACCTATAACCGCCCAGAATCGATTAAAATAAGGGAAGAAAAAAGTAAAAAAGCTGTTAGCGCAATCCATGCGGGATTAAAATGTGAAACACGATATACGCATTGTTACTAATCCTCCTAAAACGCCTCTTTTCTTCTCTATATTGGTGCATGTTTCTTCATCATTGCTTACTTTACAGAATATAGCCAACAATATCTTTTTACTCGGGTGTGCGCTAAACTCATAGGTTAAAATGAATCACTCTAGATCAATCTTCAATCGTACTTCCATACTTGAAAAAAACTCCTACTCAAAGTAACCGTCAGATTAGATAAGTAATTTGAATATATCCGTATACAATTCGACATTTGAATGAATACAGACAAGAATACATACAAGCAGAAAAACTTCCGTTTATTCCATTTATATCTACTTTTGATACGATGAATAAAAAAACTCGGACTGGCGTTTTCCGCCAAATATGGTATTAAAATATTGTGCACGTGCAGAAAAAGTGTTCTCACACTTTATTTCAAAATATTTCTCAGTTCTCAGCAACTGCAACTCCTTATTCAAACTCATTAGACCAAGATTGCTGATGTTTGTTTGTTTGATGAATACAAACAGCCTGAAGCGTGTCTTTAAGAGACTTTTTAGTGCACCAGCTACTTGTTTGTCGGGAACCTTTCGAGGTACTTCTCACGACTAGTCACTGTTATGTTTTTGATTCCATTTCTCCAGAACGTCATCCTTCTTTTTATGTAGACTTCACATAATCTGAAATTCGACTTAATTTGAAAAACGATTAGATCTGTAGCAAGAGAATTCTCAATGAAAACTTCTAAGCCAAAGCGTCATTATGAACTATTTCTGATTTCTTCAATTTCCTACTGTAACTGAAAAATCAGAGTTTTATTGAAATTTCTCATTAAATATTAGTGCAACATTCTCAAAAAAAAACATAGCTTTTAGATTTATCTTTCGTGAGCGAAATCTGCAGAATGGTTGCAATATGAATCCTTAATGATTTGTTTTACATGAGAGCACTTATAATAACAGTTTGTGTATTATTCATTTAATATAAAACATATGGCTTCATTTTTATGCATCAATTTTTAATTATTTTCTTCGAGTTATCATAACGGAATATTACAAGAGCTAGAGATTCTCCAAACATACACAAGATTAAAAAATTGGCTGTTAATAATGATAATAATAAATAACAATTTATTGGCATATCCCAGTTTAAGATCTTGTCCTATCTGTGGATAAATTTCCTCAAAGCACAAATATAAACATATGAAAAAAGTGGAAGAAATACGCTCTCAAAATCAGTTCTACTGGAAAATTGTTAGAATATCTACCCAATTTTTTTTCAATTCTCCTATCATTTCAAAACACACTATTGTCTTTCCTTGAACATAGCTGGCTTTTATTATGCCTTTGAAATCTGCAGAGATACGAAGATTTGACATGGGAAGCACCTCTCAGTGAAATCTCAATGGTATTTTTATGAGAAATATGTAAGGTTTTAAGGCGCGACTCACTTCGATCGTTTATAGTTGTGAAGATTATTGTCGAGATGTTCCTAATCTGCTTGTCTTTGCAGTTTTTCAAGACATTCTAATAGCTATCTATGTACAACAAATAGTTCCGGTGTCCGTCCGAATCATATGAGAACGAATACAAATCACCAAGGGTTTCTTATAACTAATGGACTAATCAGGACCGATTTCAGTAGCATATCAGTTGCTATCCTTTTCATTAAATCCCCTAATAGCCACAAGCGGTCTATATTAACGAGAAAAAAGTTACTAACTTCATCACTATTTTCATAAAATTCGCAAAATTTGCCAATATTCACTTTCATTTTCTTCTTTCCATAAATTTAGAGACAATATAAAACTCACAGAAACTATTCTTAATTACTGTTATCATTTAAAAATAAAAAATCTTTTGAACACTGATAGAGTAAAAAGACTTACGAGGAATACTGTAATATCCAAAGACTGACGTCTGCTTCTTGTATTAACGGGATGTATATTATAATAATGAATGCAACACGTTGGTAATGTATCGATGTTTTTTAGTAAAGAAAATGAACGCATTATGTTACTTATATACATATCGAAAAAATGTTTGGCTTGCGTGCAATCAATCGTAGACATGGAATAAAACATGATCATATATTATTGAGATATACTGGGTTTTTTTCCGCAAAAATATTTGACTTGTGTGCAATCAATCGTAGACGTGGGATAAAGCATCGTCATATATTGTTAAGACATACTGGGTTTTTTTCCGCACAAATATTTGACCTGTGTGCAATCAATCGTAAACGTGGGATAAAGCATCATCATATATTATTGACACATACTGGGTTTTTTCTCGCAAAAATGTTGTTATTCTTTTGCTTGTTCTTTCACTTACCGATTAGACAGCTTGAATAATGAAGAGGGATAAAGTTAATCGATGGTTGGAAAAATATGCATACTATCATGGTTTTATTTTTATTTTTCTTCCTATCGTTGCACAGGATAGGTAAAATATACAAGCTTCACAAGCAATATATTACACTGATTTATATCATCGATCCTGTTAAAACCGAGATCAACGGGTCCCTTCTGCCTATGACAGAAGATATTGGTTTCTACTGCCATTTTTGGAAGCATTTCTTGTCGATACACATATTCCTCCTCAAAAATCGACATTTGGATGAAGTCTCATCATTGGGATCGTTTCTGATCCTCACAGTAACTGGGAAGTCACTATTGACAGTTGCCTTGGATACCATCGTCGTGTGTATCTTTACTTTGATTCAGATTTCTTTTTCGGTCGTTATTTTCCTTTAAGTTGCAGTTCAAATCATCATTCTGTTATTTGTCTTGGTGGGAAGTCAGCTTTCGACACAACTTACATTCTCAAACGACAGAATAAGTTACATAATCTACTTCGAGCTTAATATCAAGATCTGTCAGATCGCTTCTATTTAAGAATGACTCCAGGGATGCCAAATCCAAATTTAGAAAACCAGGACTTGGCCAGGAGATCCTTGTTTGAAAACAGGAGAATAATCCAGGAGATTTTTATTGAAACTAGGAAACTTTTGATTGTTTTTTTTATTCGAAAAAAATTGAAATTTTCTTTTACTCAAGATATTAAAATTTTCTCCTGATAGGTTAATTGTGGCACATTTTTCTATGTAATATTATATATGAGAAAAATAATCGTAATTATATGTTCTACTTTATTATTTATTTCGAAATCAATCCCAAAATGTCCAAAACAAAGAAATCACTATCTACTTATAAATTAAAAAATAAATATCAACCTATCAAAAAAGCCAAGTTATGACACATTCATATTGTTCGTGGTATTTTGGCAACATGAGTGTATTTTTGTCATGATCGAATTTTTTTAGTAGATCTTGATTATTAAGAAGATGATCATAAAATTCTGAACAGTTATATTGAGTATTTACTTGTATTTTTTATTCCGCACTAACAAGATCGTGCATCATTCTATTCCGATTATTATTCCATAAGTACTTCATATAACTAAATATTATTTCACAAAAAGCATTAGATGCTGGTATAGAAAAAACAAATTGAACTAATTTTTTAAAATTAGGAACATCTTCACCATAAAGAAGATAAGCCCACAAATAGTCACATCTTATATGCAGATTTTTGTGATATCGAATATTGTCCTCATCATCACTACCGGATTCAGCTTCAACATCACATTCATCACCACTACATAATTTAACTTCATCATTTGACATTGTTCCACTTTGCTTGTATAAATGTAAATTTGATGAAATAAATTCTTCAACGTGTTTATCAATACCATCAAATTTGTCCTTCAGTTGAATAAATTTAGATTTTAAATGATTAAAATCATTGTATAAAAGATCTTTATCGATCTTCTTAGCATCAATATACGCAGCACAACGTTCAATGTTTCTCCATTCAAGCTTTTGAATATCAACTTCATTAAAAATTGAAATAGACTCATACATGAAGCTCGATCTTCAAAATAATCTTCTATGTACGTGATAATTGTATAGATGAACAAGCTAAATGATTTTTTTAAATCATCAACTTCATTTGAATCTTGAATTTTTTCTAATAATTCCATCACTTTAGCGCCAAAATAATTGTCACGTAAACGATTATTTAATTTATAGAGTAAATCTTTAATTACACTATATAAATTTACACCAATAATATAATGTTTTTGCAACAATATATTTGCTTCTTGTACTTCTGCTAATGTATTCTTCAAAAAAAATAATGTACATTCACCTATACAAAAATTGAGAAATCAAGACATACTCATAATATCACAAATGTTTACCTTTATGAGATGTAAAAAATCGAGTAATATTTTTGGACATGTACTATCTTTGAGATTCGAGAAGTAACTCTTTACTACTAGATAAATAGCAATTAAAGGTTGGATGGATAATAACAAACTGAGCCAACGTGTACGAAGATGTTGAAGTATAACCTGAGTTAAGAATGTAAAGATGAGATTAGATAAAATCGTGAAGAGGACTTATGGTTATAGTAGATAGATCAAATCACATATATTTGATTACTTTCTGTTCTTGATCAATGAAATCGAAGTATTTTGTTAATTTGAGTGAACGAACAGATGACCGACAAAAATGTGAATTAATTTTTAAAATAGCAGCTTCTATATCAAATAATAAATGATCATGTTCGTGTTTAACTGAGTTGTGAAGGATGTGACAGTAACAATTACCTAAAAATGAAAGAATACAGAAAACATGTATGAATATTGAAGATAGAAGCGGTTTTACCTTGAACTAAAAGTGGTATTAATTCATTAAATAATCAAAAAACACTATGTTTATTACCAACATTTACATTTGTATTATCAGATCCTAGTGAACAAAGTTTTTCTAATTCTAATTCATGAGATTCTAATACATATTTAATATTAGCAAATAATCCATCAGCTGATTCATCTTGTTGTTCGATAAATTCGATAATCCCATGTTTGACACCAAAATCAGAAAAATATTGAGCTACTATAGGCAACATTTTTTCATTTCTTTTATTTGATACATCATAACAAATTGAAAAATAGGCAACACTTTGAAGTTCTTTAACTAAATACTTTGTGAAAGCTGGTGCTAATACATTACAAGCTATCTGATGAGCCTAAACCAAGGGGGAAACGGCGGACTTGAAGTAGAAAAATACATCAAAGTACGTCAAAGTAGACTACTTGAAGTAGCTCAAAGTACCACCCAAGTAGCCCAAAGTAGGAACAAGTAGCTTAAAGTGACTTCAAGTAACTTCAGGTAAATTTGAAGTTGAAAAATACTTCAAAGTAAGCTACTTGAAGTAGCTGAAAGTAACTTGAAGTAGCTTAAAGTAGCTCAAAGTAACTTCAAGTCCAAAAGTCCGCCGTTTCCCCCTTGGCCTAAACACCAAGTAAATAAAATATTCTATCGAGAAAAACAAAAAATCCTACTTTTGTTTTACGAGAGATATAATGTTTTTTGGTAAAATAGAATCTGAAAAGCATATTTTTGTTAATTTGGTGGTGCATGATTGTGAAAGATAACTATGGGAATGTTTTACACCGTGGAACACTAGAACTGCTTCAGTAGCAGATATTCGATTAAGTTCAGATATTGTTGAATGAAATATTGAATCTATTGTTTTTGCTAGAAAGAAATACAACATAATAGGAAGATTTTCTTATTAATATTGTAAGGAAAATATTATATTTGTTTGAGTCAATAGATTTAAGACACTCTTGATGTTTTTTTGTTTTCATATGATTATTTACATCAGTTATTTCACTATTTCGAATTCAAAATTGCATATTACACGCAATGCATAACGCTCTTGTTGCATCATTTTTATATTCTTTTAAAAATGGAGAATATTGTGGATCAGATAACCATTCTTTTTTAAAGGACACCCCCGGTTTTCAAAAAGTTCTCCAAATTCGATGAAATTTGGGCTACTAATAGGGGTCACTGAGATACATCGATGGTAAAAGTTTCAGCCCAA